TAGAAATAAGGAAGCTAAACCAATCATTGCAGGTACCTACGTTCTTCAAGCTAAAGCATTTGCATTTAAACAATCTTTAATATGGGCTAATTAACCAATCTTTAATATAAATTGAAGGGGATTCAAAGACACAAATCCAAATTATCACAAAAAAAAGGCACATTTACAATCCAAATTAGCTACCAAATTACAATCTAAAATTGGCAACTTTTGGAAAAGCTCTAACGTACGTCTCAATCAATGACATTTACTAATATAGTAATTTTATTTAGGGCGTTAATAATTAAATTGTAAAGAATCCTATAGTAATTTTTTATAATAAGATTTTTCAAAACAACATAGACTATTTTAGGCCTTAATACGTCTCTTACCGCCCAGACTTTTTTGCGATCGAATGTGGTCAATCCAACTGCACCCTGCACCCTGCATATATTCAAAAGAAATACCATTAAGAATTTATCAATAAAAAATAAAAACGAAATAAATCCTTGGATGTCTTTTAATATTAGGAAGAATCTATTTACAACACTGTTCGAAACAAGTATGATTTTATTAGTCATGTTACTTGCCTTTTGTCCATGTAGTGTTTGTCGACCAATAGAATAGGAATGTCGTTATCCACTTCGAGATTTAACTCTTTATAAAATTCACGCATCTTTTCAATAAGACGGTTGCATTTACTTGGTTCGAAGATAGCAATAGAACAGCAATCCGAGCAAAGCTTACGGCCATCTCCAACGTTCACATATTCCCTTTGTCCTTCTGTCTGACCAATAGAATAGTAAATTAGGTTATCATTAAAAAAACACCAAACAATATTTATACACGGCGTATTGCTTGCTAATTGTACCACATTTATTATCCACCTCTCTAATAAAAGCAACAATATAATATGACTCTGCCTAGCTAGAGGCAACATGGGAATGGTGAACCCAGCACCTCTCCGTGTCTTTCTACCAACCTTGAATCTTTCACAAACACTGCACCTTGGAGTCCCATCATCTAGATGCACCTTACAGAATTTTGAACCACAGAATGTCAGTTGCCTCAAATTTTCCTATGGGAAAAAGAAAAAGAAAAAATCAGAATAGAGTATGAAAGAATTGAAGAAATATATTTAGGTATAATGGAGTTAAAATTAAGGTTACATACCCATCTTTCAATATCTCTATTGCAAACATGGCATTTTGGGAACGTTGGCATCGTGAGAATTCTTGGCGGGGGTTGCTTCGGAACGCGAGAAGAGCCAGTATTTCCCATCAAGATCAAGTTGTACTGCAAAAACTAATATATATGTGGCACCAAAGCTAAGCTACAAATAATAAGCACAGAAGAAAAGTATAGGGCTTACAAGTTTTTGATCACACTCAATATGTTTTAGCAGTCTCTCCTGGGATTTTATTTGCTTATATAGACACAATTTATATTCCTAGGATTGATTCCTTACTCCTAGAAGGATTCCTGTAGTTACCCCTTTTTTTGAAAATTAACGATAATTGTATTCAATAATTGGACATAAAGATCAAATACCCGTAGTTACCCGTTTTATTATAGTTAACTTATTGTATTGACTGAGTTTGCACCTTTTATGTAGTTAACTTTTTTGGAGACATGCGAACGCTTGTAATAAAACCGAACTTCTAATACGGTCTGGCCATCTCCTAATTGAAGACAGATTAAATTCAGTTAATTGTTTTTATTGCGTGATTTCATCATTAATAATTAACATGCTTTTTTTCATTTACAATGGTATAGACATGCTTTAACTAATTAGAATCTGTTTCAGCATATATGGGTTTGCATCCTTTCATTTACGCTGCCGAGAGAGAGAGAGAGAGGAATTGTGGACTGTACCTCCTTTTGTTTTTTATTTTATTTTCTCTTTCTTCTCTTGGTTGTTGTCCCATTCTCTACTCTCCGCTCCTGCTTTTGCGGGCCTGACCTTGCAAATAGACAGTCTCCATGATCCGCGTGGGACCCAAGAAAATGTCACAATATGGCCAAGATATCTCTGCTTTGATTTCATTTTTGCAAACAAAACAACTGCAAAAAGAAAGCTTTTTGATGAAAACACAAAAGGGATGTTGACCCTATTAAGCATTGGAAAGGAAAACTTCAAACTTCTAGGCCCCTAAATCAATAACAATAGGATACATAGAAAATAAGGTCCTATTAAAAAAATGACAAATAATATTACAGCTGAACAAAATACTTCTTAACCCTATTATTAAGTCTAATTAACTAAATAAATAACTAAATGCTTCTTGATTTAATCTTGAATTTGGAAAGAGAGTAAATTATAAATACCTACATTGGGCCCGACTGCAATATTCCTGCATATGCTGATATCAAGCTTGGTGGATATGATACTCTCTATATTTGCTAGGTCGTTGTTTTAAATTGGATACTCACTCACACCATGCTTCAGTGCTTAATTTGTTGTAGAGAGAGGCAGGATCCACCCTCTTCCCTAAATGCAACAGCCCCATGTTTTCAAACTCCCCCTTGTCTATGCACTTCCCAAATAACCGGGCCATGATGTATGTTTTTGGTGCACCTTTTAATTGCTGCGTTTCATATGAAGGGCTATACTTTTTGGTGTCTGTATTCAATAATTGGGCATAAAGACCAAATACCCCTAGTTATCCGTTTTATTATAGTTAATTTATTGTAATTATTGTATTAGAGCATCCACAATCGTACTCTCTATTTTTTAGTTAAAATTTAGCTAAAAACACTATAAATATATTTTAGGAGCTCTCTATTCAACTCCAACCATACTCCCTAGTTTAAAGAGTCATAAATATTTTTAATTCTTTTTAATTCAATTTTTGAATAAAATGTACACACAAAAGCAACAATAAAAAATAATTGGCTTAAAATAATATTAAATAAAGAAGCATTTAATTATAGGGAGTCACTATGACTCATTTCTCTCTTCTCAGATTTAGGAGCTCCTAGAGGTCTCCCTATTTTAGGAGCTGAATAGGGAGCATGGTTGGAGGTGGCTTTTTTCAATTCCTCCCTAAATTTTAGCTAAGGAGATGGTTTATGGAGCCCATTGTGGATGCTCTTAGAGTTTGCACCTTGTATGTAGTTAACTTTTTTGGAGGCATTCGCACGCTTGTGATAAAACCAAACTTATAATACGACCTGGCCATCTCCTAATTGAAGACAGTTTAAATTCAGTTCATCTATATATATAAAGCAAAAGGTAGAGAATGGTGAAACATTTAAAATACCAGAAAATGCCCTTGGTTAATGCAAATATTAAGAATTGAAATTATTAATTAAATGAGGATAATATGGTAAATTCACACTTTTTATATTAAAAAAAAATTAAAATTAAAAGAAAAATCATATAATGAATCTTATTTTTAACACAAATCAGATAAAATAAATTTAAATTTTTTTCAAAAAAGCCTCTCGCAGACGTAGAAGCGCGTGCGGAGAGGCTAATTGTTTTTATCACGTGATTTCATATTTTCCCCTCATTAATAATCCACATGCTTTTTTTCATTTACAATGGTATAGACATGCTTTAACTAATTAGAATTGGGTTTGCAAAATTGCAAGAAGATATAATAAATTGATTTTTGTATTATGACCGTGGGAGCAAATAATTGGTTTCCTTAGTCTCCTAACAAGTTCAACTATAGAAAGAGCCAGTTAGCAAATGGCAAGTGAAACAAACACATCCATCGTTCAATCTACCAGTTTCTTAAGAAAAAAATTTCAAACCATAAAAGAACAGAAACAAATTATCTAGGATGTAACCCCAAACAACAAAATAATTGAGAAAGAAAAACCCTAGCTGCTAAGAGAGGGAGAAAGAAAAAGAGAGAGAAAACTTCATATTCAAGGGTTTGTTTTTTGTTTTTTTTCCTCGGATCCCGTTGGATCTTCAGTGTCCCTGGCTTTAGGTAGACCTATATCGATCTACTCTTCTTCTGGTAGATCTATTGTCTCAAATCCTAATCCCAAATTAGAGAATTAGCAATGCGCATTATTGCCTACAATTGCAAAGAAAAAGAAAGTTTCAACAGTAGCCAGATTATTTTTCGCTAGAACATGGGAAATTAGGGGATAATTACTAGTTGGTACAGGGGTTTGATAGTTGTTTTCGTGAGAATCATATCAAAAAACGGTTTCCTAGAAAGTGGCCAAAATTCATCCCTTTTCAGTTCAATCACCGAATTTGATGTGGGTAGGTCTCCTATTTGAGGTTCTTCTATTTCATCAACTGGAAATTAACAAAGAAATTATCTGCAAAAACAATCATAATACTAATGTAAAGATACCCAACAGTACAAACAAGACACAAAAAACATCTTATGATGAAAAAGAGATCATGAATTTTAAAGGTTATGGAAAGTTGCAAAGAATTTCAAAGAACTTCAAAATTATGCTAATTTGTATAATTTGTGAGAAGAAGAGAGCCTATCAGGAAAAAAAAAAAAAAAAAAAAAAAGAGCTCAGCCCGGTTTAAAAAATGTGCTTTTTTTTTTTTTTTTTTTTTTTTGATAAGTCTGTAGGTTCATATATTCCTAATTTATATATGTATTTCCTAAAATTTGAAATAGCATAGTCTAATTTTCCCTCCAATTCTTTCTGGCAATTTTGCTTTCTTTTTGCTGAGAAGTCTTCGTTTCTTTCTTTATTGACCTGTGTTGTTAATTTGCATACTTTGTAACGGCTGGTCTGACAAACTAATCCCATGTGGATTATGATATCTATAGTTCTACAATATAAAATTGTATTTTTTTAATCATTACCAATTTCTAGTTTTTCATTCTTCTTGTTTATTTGGTTTTTGGCACAAGTGATATCGGAAAGGTGAAATTTGAACACAGGGCCTCCGGTGTAGGGAAAACTGCTCTTCACTACTTGAGCTACATGTCCCTTGCTTCCACTCTTCTTGTTTAATTCATCAAAAAATTCCAATAGTGCCACATCTATGACGACCTTTCCCCAAATTTAAGAAAAATATGGATCTATGAATGGTGAGGGTAATTAAAGATGTGGCACACTCTTACCTGTTGAAATTTTAGCATATGAAGTATATATAAAAAAAATCTGATAAGAAGAGTAACCAAATCCGTATACCAGGAAATAACAAGCACGCAAAAAGAGCAGGTAACTGGTGGGCTAATACGGTTGTTGACAATTTAGTTAATTTGGGTCATTATTATGATCACTCTTTTGGTTTTGTAATTTTCCTACCATTGTTTTAAAATTTGACTTGTACCATAAAGAATCCTCTTCATAGTAAAGCAAGACAACATGCATTTCAAGTATTTTCAATTGCATTTATTGAAGTTCACGCGCATAGGGGTTCGAACCCCTACCCCCTTTCCAAGACATGTAGCCACTTAACCACCACTCTAGTCATCACTTTATGATTTATGCCTATGGAATCTCATATTTATAGCTGTTGTGAGCTGTTTCTCAAAATAGAAATTAACATAACTACTTATTGTTTTAATTGTCGATCAATTACTTAATTACTTAATATAATTTATTTCCTTCATATTTAATCCATTTAATGTTATTGATTATTTTATTATTCATTATAAGTACTTATATTACTAAATTTCCCTTCAAATTGTTGCTTAATTACTTAAATCTCTATAATCATTTTCTTTATTTCCTATTTAATTCTTCCTTGGATAACTTTATATGTTTTTAGTTAATTTTCAATCTTCACTATTATGTTTTAAGCATGGTAAAGTGCCTAATTTTCATGACAAATCAAGTTGGCTTATATCCTTCTTTTTAAATTTTTTTTTTATATAAATAATAAATATAAAAACGTGTCCCATGTTCAGTGAAATAAGGTTACTCATGTATTTTACCATGCAATTTATAAAGTGTAAAATATTATACTAAAAAATGATAAATAAATGACTAGGGGGTGTTTAATTTTCTTTCATTAATTACTTTAGATTTTTTAAGTCACAGAGTGTAACAACCTAAACCTTAATTCATTGTTAATCATTAATTTACTCTGGTAAAAAGACAATTTTGCCCATGGAATATTTTATTATAATAAAAGTTGACTTTTTGACCAGGATGGCATTTGGAAATTTTAATTGGACCATTGCGTAGAGAACATCGAGGCGAGTCGGTAGACACGTAGTGGGCTCGAATCGGAATTGTAACGAAGAAATTGCGGTAAAAAATTAACTCAGTGGCAAACTTGTAAATAAGTCGAAGTTCTTTTATTAAAATCAAAACCGGCTTTATCTCTCCTGGCGCGCGCGTTTTCCTTTCTCTCTCTCCTGTCTCTCTCCGACATCGTCTTCACTCTATCTCTCTCTCTCTCTCTATTCAATAATTGGGCATAAAGACCAAATACCCCCAGTTATCCGTTTTATTATAAGTTAATTTATTGTGATTATTATATTAGAATTTGCACCTTGTATGTAGTTAACTTTTTTAGAGAGATGGGGTGAGAGGAGGGGTTTGGGTGTGCACAGAAAATGGAGAGAGGTTTTGGGGGAAGAAGTGTGTGGTGACCGTTGGGGCTTGGACTACAAAGTTAGTTAAAACGGTTGGTGGGATTGCGCTGCCTATACAGCCACTGGAGACCACTGTTTGTTATTGGAGGATTAAGGAGGGGCATGAAGGTGGTTTTGCCATTGGAGGTGACTTTCCAACCTTTGCTAGCTATGGGGACAACTACATTTATGGGACACCCTCTTTGGAGTACCCCGGTTTGATCAAGGTTGCCGTGCATGGCGGGTACCCATGTGACCCGGATAAGAGGCCATGGGGACCCGGGAACCCGCTGGCTCCGTTGAAGGAGTGGATTGAGGGGAGGTTCTCCGGTGTAGTTGACTCCGGTGGGCCAGTGGCCACTCAGCTGTGTATGTACTCCATGACCCCGGATGAGGACTTTGTGATTGATTTCTTGGGTGGGGAGTTTGGGAAGGATGTGGTGGTGGGTGGCGGGTTTTCGGGTCACGGGTTCAAGCTGTCTCCGGTGGTGGGGAGGATATTGGCTGACCTTGCACTTAGTGGGGAGGCTCAAGGAGTGGAGCTAAAGCACTTTAGGATGGCAAGGTTTCAAGAGAATCCCAAAGGAAATGTTAAAGACTTCCTATAGATCATCGGTGCTAATTTGAAGCAAAATTGGGTAGCTTTCCATCTGTGGCCAATAATTTAGGATGGTAAACTGTATGTGGCTATGCGTGAGTGAGTATGTATGTGTGTGTTGGACAGATTGACACAATAAACACACTGCTTCATTTGGTGTTCAATCATCCTCCAAATGTTGCATCAATTTTACATTGTAGGGATATTTTATTTTATTATTATTTTGTTTTTCAAAATTCGTTTTAAAAAACTGAAACCAACATCTAGGACATAATTCTATGAAAATAAAAGCCAATTTGAAACATAATGAACTTATAATTCAAGTTGTTAAGAGCCCGAAATCCTGTGTTCGAATTCTCATTTCCCTAAGATATGCATTGTGCACAACGACCCGAGCAATATTCGTATCCCTGCACTTTCCTTGGCTAGTGTCAGTAAAGACCCCACCCTTATTGGTGAGTCTGAGATTATTCATGCGGTTGTGGAAGATGTCGCACTCCACAAGACGACATCCTTGATTACTGAATCTGACCCCACAAAAGAGACGGAGCAGCCTACACAACAGAAACGTAGTAAGAAGAAATTTATCCTTGAAGGTGGCAACCCCCCGTCAAAAAGGAAAAAATTTCTTCCGTCGCTCAACCCAGGCTGCTCTCTAAAACTCACTAGAGGAACTGTGGGGGTTAGAGCTGGTGCTAAAGGGGGGCGCAAACGGGCACACGGCTCCACTGGTGTGGCTAAGTCTGCAATCAATGACTCATCGCTGTGTGAGGTAGTGGTGACTCATCGCTGTGTGAGGTAGTGGTGAGTCCATCCAAAGAGTTGGAAATCCTTGAACTGAGGGTTAAGAATGGTCTTATTGACGGCGGTGGTGGCTGGCCTTTGACAGCCACAAGAGGTCCATGAATCTACAATTTTGGAATTGTCATGGTTGGGGCATTTTCCTGACAATTCCTCACAGAAAGATGCTTTTATGCTCTATCAGCCCCTCTACTCTATGCCTCTGTCTTCTTTTTGGAGGTGTCGGCAGCTATGCTTTTGTGCGTTTGTCTTTGTTTCCTACTGTGAATGTTCTCCTCCGATCCCTTGCGGCTTTGTCTCGTTGTTGGATCTTCTCCACCGTGTTACGTTCTGGTGCGTCTCTCCTCAGTAATACTATTGCTGTTGAGGATGCTTTTAAAGTGCTTTTGACACTTACCTCTCGGATTATGGTAGCGCTCTCTGTAGCTGTGATGGCGTATCCATCACCATCTTCCTCTCGGTTCTTTGGTTTCTGTGACTTCTCTGGTGGTTTTGGTCTTGCGTTGGGTGCCTTGCCAACTGGTTATTGGGGGTGCGGCTTTTCTCAGCTTCCTGTTTTACGGCTTTTCTTTTTGTTTCTTAGCGTTTGTTGTTCGTTTTAATTTGACTGGGTAAGAAGCTTGGTTCTAGCCTTGTACTGAGGTCTAGCTGCTTCTACCTGGTTCGTGTATTTCCGGCTCAGTTTGCAATCTATCCCGTTTTGGTTTCTTTGAAACCAAACATTGACCAAAAAAAAAAAAAAACTTTTTTGGAGGCATGCGCATGCTCGTAATAAAACCAAACTTATAATACGACCTGGCCATCTCCTAATTGAAGACAGTTTAAATTCAGTTCATTGTTTTTATCATGTGATTTCATATTTTCCCCTCATTAATAATCCACATGCCTTTTTTCATTTACAATGGTATAGACATGCTTTAACTAATTAGAATTGGGTTTGCAAAATTGCAAGAAGATTTAAATTGATGTTTGTATTATGACCGTGGGAGCAAATAATTGGTTTCCTTAGACTCCTAACAAGTTTAACTATAGAAAGAGACAGTTAGCAAATGTCAACTGAAACAAACACATCCATCATTCAATCTACCAGTTCTTAAGAAAAAAATTTCAAACCATAAAAGAACAGAAACAAATTATCTAGGATGTAACCCCAAACAACAAAATAATTGAGAAAGAAAAACCCTAGCCGCTAAGAGAGGGAGAAAGAAAAAGAGAGAGAAAACTACATATTCAAGGGTTAGTTTTTTTTTTTTCCTCAGATCCCGTTGGATCTTTGGTGTCTCTAGCTTTAGGTAGACCTATATCGATCAACTCTTCTTCTGGAAGATCTATTGTCTCATATCCTGGTTGGCTTCAGTCGTGCCTATTCTTTTTATACTATAATGTTCAACATCAACTTAATCTTTTTTTTCTCGTTTACCACAAATTATTATTTTCTCTTGTCAAAAGAATGGATTTTTTCCATGTCGTAAGGGTGTTATTTGTTTTAGAAGAAAGAGAAAGCAAGCTAAATTTGTGATGTAAATAGTGTCTTTGAAAATTGATGGCATTTGCAACAATTTAGAGCCACTTAATTATATTATATTATGATCCAAAATATACAAAAAGACAACGTTAGAGTAAAGCTAGTCCTATTATTTTCTCGAGATCTATATCAATACTAGAATCAGTTTTGTTTTATTAGAAACGATGGACCAAAATATTAGTCAAACAACATGGGGTAGAGTATTTTCATATTATATTTTATTCTTTAAAAGGAGGTATTTATAATACAAGGTAGTAAACCCTAATAGGGTTATATAAGGAAATAAGATAAAATCCTAATTACACAATATCTGTACAAAAGGAAAGAAATAAAATCCTAATTACCCAAGATCTCTCAACAATCTCCTCAACCACAGTAACTCGCACACACCTTGAGCTATCCCATGATATCGACTTCTGCAAGTTTAAGAAAAATCTGGATTTATGAATGGTGAGGGTCATTAAAGATGTGGCACACTCTTAACTGTTGAAATTTTAGTATAGGAAATATATATAAAAAAATCTGATAAGAGCAAGGTCTAAAATATCGGTGATATCGGAAATATCGGTAGGCCAAAAACACGGAAATTTCGATGGAAATATCGGGATATTATCGATATCCATAAAAATTGAATTAAAACCACGGAAATTGTAAGAAAAACTTGGAAATTTTTATTGAAACTTTGCATGATGTTTATTTAGTCAATTATCTATTAGTTTATCATAAAAAAAATTGGAAGGAAATGCATTGCATGATGGATTTAACTTATTTAAGTTGATTATATAGCAAGCTGGCAAACACTGTGAGTGTAGAAAATATGTAATAATTAATGAAAAAAGATTAAATACACCATAATCATTTATATATAATAAATTAGTACAATATTTTACACTTTATACAATGCATGGTAAGATACATGGTCAAAAGAATTCAAAACAATTTGTTTCTTGCAAAAAAAATTCATGAATAATACAATACAATTAAATTGTACAACTAATTCTTATTGAACCATATCAATCTTTTAAATATAAGTACAAGTATGATGTATGTACGTCGAATTTCTACTATATCACATAAACGAATGAGATAACTAATATATTTTTAAAAAAATTGAAAAAAAATTATACAAAACTTCAAATTACAGCTGCGAAGAATTAGAGAGAGAAATAAAATAACTTACTTGCAGTCGAAAGATGAAGAGAATTCTTGAAATTGATGGAGATTATCTAATAATGTTAGAAATTAGGGTTGTACTATACAATATATATAATTCCATGTGTTAATATATTAATTTAGGGAAAAAAAAAAAAGGGTAAGTAGAAAAGCTAAGGGAAGGAAAAAAAAAAGATATTAATTATTGAACGTAGAAAAGCTAATACGAATGCTCAAAAAGGGTAAGTAGAAAAGCTAATATATTAATATAGAATAGGCAAGAAGATATTAATTATTGCCTTAGGTTTATTACAATAAAGGGAAGGAAAAAAAAAAAAGAACAAAGCGTGTTTTCATTTTTTAAAAACCCTCCAAGTGAAACGACATCGTTTCACTTTAAGTTTTTTTTAAAACACTTCAATCGAAACGACGTCGTTTCATTACAATAAACCTAAAAAAAAAAAAAAGGCTGAGTCGTCTTCCTCGCAAAGTCGTCTTCTTCGCAGAGCCGCACCAAAATTTGCAGAGTTGCAAAATTTCTTCCGCCTTAGAGTGTCCAGATCAAGTGCGCCTTGCTCCGCCTCACTCCGCCTTTCAACGCCTTGCAACGCCTCCTCACGCCTTCTCTGCGCCACTCGCGAAAACACTGATATTATCGATAATTTCGATAATATCGAGATATTCTCCCCATTTTAGGTTGGATTTTCACGATAGTATCGCTGCCGATATTTCGCAAATATTTTCGGCGATATTTTCGACATTCTGACGAAATCCAATTGGTTGGTGCTCAAAATATCGCAGCTCCAAAAATCCGATATTATCGCCGATATTTCGGCGATAATATCGATTTTTCAGACACTGGGTAAGAGTACCCAAATTCGTATACCAAGAAATAACAAGCGCGCAAAAAGAACTTGTACCATAAAGAATCCTCTCATAGTGAAGCAAGACAACATGCATTTCAAGTACTTTCAATTGCATTTATTGAAAAAATATCGAACTGAATTTATCAAAAATGAAAGAGTTCACTTAAACTCACGCGCATAGGGGTTTGAAACACTCCCCCTTCCAAGATATGTAGCCACTTAACCACCACACTAGTCATCACTTTTTGATTTTTGCCTATGGAATCGCATATTTATAACTTTTGCGAGCTGTTTCTCAAAATAGAAATTAACATAATTACTTATTGTTTTATATTGTTGATCAGTTACTTAATTACTTAATATAATTTATTTCTTTCCTATTTATTACATTTAATGTTATTGATTATTTTATTATTCATTATAAGTACTTATATTACTAAATTTCCCTTCAAATTGTTGCTTAATTACTTAAATCTCTATAATCATTTTCTTTATTTCCTATTTAATTCTTCCTTGGATAAATTTATTTAAGTTCTTAGTTAATTTTCAATCTTCACTATTATTTTTTAAACATGGTAAAGTGCCTATTTTTCATGACAAATCAAGTTGGTTTACATCTTTAATTTTTTTTAATTTTTTATTTATAAATAATAAATATAAGAATGTGTATCATGTTCAGTGAAATAAGGTTACTCATGTATCTCACAATGTAATCAACTTAAATCACTCAGACCCACTATGCAATGCATTTCCTTCCAATTTTTTGTGTCAAAATAATAGATGATTGACTAAAGAAACTTCTTCTAAAGTTTCATTAAAAATTCCCATGCATTTATCACAATTTCCGTGGTTTTTACCCAATTTTTATCAATATCGATATTTTCCGGATATTTCCATCGATATTTCCGTATTTTTGAACCACCGATATTTCCGAAACCTTCAATATTTAAGACCTTGTATAAAACCAAAAAGAACTTTGCACTTAGCTTCTTAGGTATGTAGACACAAATAAACACAAAAACTAAACAATTCAAACAAAACTTAGCAAGCAACAAGCATATAACAAGTGAAATAGGGAGAAGAAAGGCATAATCAATCCTAGTGAAATTTACCATTAATACACAGAGAAATGAAGATAAATATCAAAGAGAAGATCTCATGAAATAAAACCTTGGACATTACTAAAACTTTATAGCTATTAGCTGTGGAGTAAACCAGAGCAAATCACAAATTTTACCAGATCAAAGAATAATACAGGAAAGTCCCAAATATCGCAAGGGCGGATCCGAATGCATTAAGAGGTCTAACTGGATTTCTGAACAACAACACAGTAGATACAATTACCACCACTCTCTTCATTGTGTTTCCAACTGAAAAGGTCAAGGGGCTAATTTCATCAAGAGCCTGATAAGATGATTGGTTATAGTGATGGTACGTAAAACACTCCAGATAACAATGATTTCATTGTGATACTCTGTTCAATTTTTCTGTATTCAGTGTTGTGAATTATCTAATTTGTTCTTTGTAACATGTCACAGTGGTCCGAATTGTGTCTTTGCACTGAGGTGATAATATCATTGATTTCGATGTGATCAAATTTATTAATAAATTAGCAATGTGGTATTCATCAATTTGAAAGATGAAATTCAGGCTTAGCTTTCCCTTCTGCATTCTATTACTACATTTTCCTAGACGTAGACATACATGGAATTTACTTTTGTTTATGTTTGGATGCTTTCTTTATTGTTTTCAGGTTTAAATTCTGATTTTTTAAACTGTGTATTTTAGGTTCGATTGTTAGCCTTGAATCTGTTTCAATTTGTTTAATTGAGTTGTCTTGAATATGTATTTTATGCATTCATTCTTTTATTTGTTTTCTCCATTTTTTCCTTATGTAGAATGTTTGTGTTAGTATCTTATTGATGAACGAATGCTAATATTTGGGTTAATTAGTTTTTTTATTGAATAATTATTTATTGATTGATTGACTGGTCTATATTTGTTTTTCAATCGTTTAGATTCTGTCATTTTGTGCAGAACTAATCATTTTCTGCTCTGATATTCCATAGTTGTGATATTTGATCAGGTTGCAGGTTTGACACTTCGTCGAATTGGAACGATGATGATGGAGAAGCCATGGGAGCTGCAAAACATGTTCTATTTGCAGCTCCCTTAACTAATACAAGTGAATATATTTGGTACTTTACTTGTTTTTTTTTTTTTTGGTCATAGGTTGTAAAATTTAATTTGATAGTTTAGATACTTTAAAAAAAAAAAACAGGTTATAGTTGAATTTACATAATTTGGGAAAGGAAAACGAAATGGGCTTTAATTGGTGGGTTGTTTGACAAACTGGTATTGTGAAAAAAAAAAAAAGGAAAACAATATTGGGCTTTTGAAAAATTCAACAATATTGTACTTTTGGAAGAAAAAAAAAAGGGATATTTGTAGAAATGTCACATGAACTTATACATTAGTTTCAATTTGTCACCTTAAAGAAAAATGTCACCTGAAGTTTTCAAAATTCATGATTTGTCACCTGATTTTAATATCATTCAATTTTACATCAATTTTGAAGGGTATTTTAGTCTTTCCAAACAAGAGAGTTTACATAGCTTTATATTTAAATTATATTAAAAAAAAATGAGGGTTTACATATTGGAAAGACTAAAATACCATTCAAAATTGGATGATGTTAAAGTCAAGTGACAAATCATGAATTTTGAAAACTTAAGGTAACATTTTGCTTCAATTTTTATTTAAGATGACAAATTGAAATTAATGTATAAGTTCATTTGACATTTTTACAAAAATCCCAAAAAAAAAAAAAACTAATTTTGGGCCCAAGCCAGAACCGACCAAAAAACCAAAACCGAACCATGTATGGTCGGGTTAGCTCAACTTCATTTTTCATTTTTGACCCGATCTAACTCAAAAACTGCAGTCTTGATCAGTTCGACCCACGGGTCAGTCAAAATTTGACCTAACCCTAACCGTGCCCGGGCCTAAATGCTCCCTCAAATTTGGGTTGTCAGTGACTCAGTGTACATTTTATTTAAGGCTAAATTATTGAAATGCCCCCTGTAACTCAATTTCAGTCTCGGTTTCCCCCCTGAAACTCTAAGTGTCTCACTTTCCCTCCTGAAACTCCATATATTGTCTCACTTTGCCTATATTCCATCCAGCCTTAACAGAAGTCGTCAAATCTTAACTTGCCAAAAACAACCTTCCCTTACAAATTCAGATACTCTCTGAATCTGCAACTACACCCGGACTCATTTGCAAAACCAAACCCCTCTCCAAACTCCAAGAAACGAAGAACAACCTCCAACAATGGTGGCAACCCAACTGCTTCTCTCTCTCATCGTCCTCTCAGTTCTCTCTCTCTCTCTCTCTCTCTCTCTCTCTCTCTCTCCCCTCTGCCCACCCCACCCAAACCCTCGTCAACGCCGCCGAAATCCTCTCAGATTTAGGCTACACCTCCATGGCTATGACCCTCGATCTCGCCTCTCAAACCCTCCTCCTCTCACAGTCTCCTTCTCTCACCATCTTCGCCCCCACAAACGCTGCCTTCTCTCACTCCGGTCAGCCATTGCTGAACTTCCTGCAATTCCACATCATCCCCCTTTATTTCTCTCTCCGATCCCTCAAGTCCCTGCCTTTCGGCGCCAAGAGCTCAACTTTACTATCTGATCGCTCTCTCTCTGTCACCACTTCGGCCTACGACCCCAGAGTCTCACTTAACAACGTCCCCATCACTGTTTCCCCAATTTTCGACTTCTGTTAGGGCTGGATGGAATATAGGCAAAGTGAGACAATATGTGGAGTTTCAGGAGGGAAAGTGAGACACTTAGAGTTTCAGGGGGGAAACTGAGACTGAAATTGAGTTATAGGGGCATTTCAATAATTTAGCCTTTTATTTAATTATAACTTCGCCCAAGTTGTGCAGTTGATTCCTTCTTTTTCTTGCTCTGATTACCCGCTATTGCATCATGCATACAACCCAGATGAGGATTATGCAGAGATGGAGTCCAGATTGCGTGCACATTTGGAATCTTTCCTAGAAACTGCAAGATCATTCAATACGATTTACACTAAGGTTTGACCTGCTCTTTCCTTTCGTATACACTGCCTTTTGACAATCTGCTATCCCTTCTTTTCTTTTCTTTTCCTGTTTGCTGTACCAAATTAAAAGATTTTGGCATACTTGTTACTGATAATATATATCTAAAGAGGAAAAGTGATGCGCTGGTGATACATGAACTCGTTGTCTTAAAAGAAAAAGAAAAGTATATTTGCTTTCACCATAATGATTGAAATTTATGCTTTTGGGTGGATTCCTTATTCACGTATCTGTCTTGGTTGGCATACGAGATAGTTTTTAAGCTTCTGTTCCAGTTCCTTGCCAATTGGAAATACACTTTTTAGCTAATACAGTTGGATTGTTGACATTTATTTGACGCGCATGAGTTCGTAAATACCTTTTTGTTAGTTGTTTTGGTGTGTGCGTCTGTATTAGGTATGTACGCTTATCTGCAACCTTGAAATGTGATGCTTTTGTAGGAACTACGTCCCAGGACACACATGATGGAGGAGCCCCAGCTTCATGGGTTTGGGCCAGCTGCCAATCGCTTGCTAGAGGCATACAAAATGTATCTCATTGCTAATTAAATTATTTATCTGTTCATTTCTCATAGTACATTATGGGGATTATTAGACTAATACTGATGCGTAGTTAAATTATTTACCTGTTGTGTTGGAGGAGGAAAAGTGAAGGAAGGTGGGGGTGGGGGAAAGTAATTTTCTTTGTTTTGAAGTAGGAGGGAGGAAATAGAAAAGAAAGTGGGTGAGGTACTTTTCCCTTGAGCTGGAAAAAGCATTCCCCTCGAGGTCAGGAAAGGATTTTCCTTGAATGTGGGGAAGCCTTTTTTTATTAGATATTTATAAAAATACCCAATCCTAGACATGTATTTATAAAAATACCCAAGCACTATTTAAACATAGAAACATACCCAAAATCAACCCCACAATCAACAATCAACAATTGTATATTTTTTGGGTGTGTTTATAAATGGGTTTTGAGTGTGTGTAATGATGGGTTTTGGGTATGTTTATAAAGTGTTTTGGGTGTTGGGTATTTTTATAATTTCAGCCCCATTTTGGGTATTTTAGTGAAACTCCCTTTTTTTTATTCTAGAATAGAATACGAGAAATGGGGAGACTGCATGTATAACTTATTTTTAATCCTGTTTGTATTATCTGTTACTGCTCCTTTATCATGTTTTATGGAATATAGACATCTACCTTGATTTCCTCTTTCACCTTGTTGCAAAATCGAGGTGACAGAGGGTGTTAAAAGGTTTTTAAGGGAAAAATAATTGATGACACGTTTGAGGGTTGGTTGTAGGTACTAGGGTTTTAAGTGGCAATCTGTGCAAAGGTTATTTTAGACAGATGTGCAGGGATATTTTTATTTTTGGGGTCAAATATGCATGGATTATATGGGAAAGAAGTGTAGGAAGTTTAGACCCTTTAGGGTAAAGATATCAGCTAATGTAATTAGAAGATTGTTGTTTGGAGGTTTGACTGGTAATCAAAGGAATTTTGTTGGGTGCTGTTATTGCAGTAAAATCAAGTCTAGTACTAGTAGTTCAAGCTCTTTTGTTTGGTTAGTTTTGGTTGATAAAGTGAATTAAAGGATTGGAGTTTGTTAATTATGCCAAGTCTTGGCTTTGAAGGTCAGACGCTGATTTGAAAGAGTTTCCTGAAAAAGCGCATATTGGCATCTTTTCGTATATGTTGTGCATATATTAGTTCGGCAGGCTAAATGCTACTCTAGCATTACCCGAATGGGGGTCTTTGGCAGGTTAAATGCCAATCTAGCTTTATGAGATTGGGAGCTGCCTTCTGCTTGGTCCATTAGTTCATGTAGAGTTCATAAACCTTAACCTGTATTTAACTTAACTCTAAAAATGAGCTAAAATCATTGGAAATTCATGTATTTCTTTCAAGCCTAAGAATTACAGGCCAGTGTTAAGGTGCAATAACGAAACACTTTCTCCTTTTTCCTGTTCCAATGTTTAGTAAAGCATGTTCCCATCAAATAATTGATTTCCAATGGTTCAACAATCGAAGTCCTTACTAATTAAGTCATGTAAAAGCTGCATTAAGCATTTTGCGCATCAGATGTCTATATGACAACGATCATTTTTGGGAATGACACATTTGAAGCATTTTGTTAAGTTTGCTGTTAGCTGTAAATTTGACTTTGTTCTATAATTTTTGGCATTTCAGTCATCATTGCTCATGTGGATCTCTCATCTTTTTGCACTCTATTACACATTTCGGTCACTCAGCTATGCCAATGTACTTACTATAATGTTGTCTTGTATTGATACTGCAGGACAGCTGCAAAGTCTTAAGGCAATATCTCAGACTCTGAAGTTTCCAAACATAGTCAACTGTCATCAGCCTTAACCGTGTCTTCTAACTTTGAGGTCTCTTTTATGCTCTTTTTTTTTCTTCATCATTGTCTTTTTTTCTTTTTGCCTTTGACTTCACATGCACAACTTTATTCCAATGTTCCCCTCTTTGGACTGTAGAACGGTCTCCTGTATAGAGGATTGATATTAAATGAACTTTTTCATTATTTATGGTCTTAGATGATTTATAGCTTGCTCCTTTTATTGTATGCAGCCACGGAGATCACGCGGCACTTCACCTTTCGTCCTGTCAACATCCAGTTCTATAGTATTCTGTGCAGATGCAATTTTGTGCTGTTGAGAAAGGCATATAAAGATTCTGATTAAGGAATTGTTTGCAGAATGGTAATTAATGGGTCTCCTCACTTTTTCCTTTTGATGGTCGTTTGGCCAGGTTTTAATTTTACTACATGATTCGACACTTTTATGCTTTTGATCTCAGGCTGCTAGAGTTCTGCATAAGCTTGCAGAGCCTGTGGCACATGAAGGATCAACACCTCCTGGTGAAGTGACATATGGAGATGAAGCAGTAAAATCAGAAATAACTAATCCGGCTCCTTTAGTTGATTACTCAAACTTGTTTGAAGAAGAGTTCCAGTTGCCTGATGATCACTGGGACTCAAGCTATCTTAACATCTTGGATATAGGAGCAGTGGAGGAAGGGATTTTACATGTTCTTTATGCTTGTGCGTCACAGGTTGATTACAGCAATAGCGATATTAAACTCAATAAGCATCCTCTGCTATTCTGATGTCTGTTTTTTGTTCGCTGCTATTCTGATCTATCCACTTACAATTTAACCTGTGATGTTTCTCAGCCTCAGCTCTGCAGCAAATTAGCAGATAGGACTTCTGACTTCTGGTATGCTTTACCGCTAATTCAAGCATTACTGTTGATTGTCCCACCTAATCGCTCTTCCTAGTAATTGTCATGTCGTATAGATGTCCTAATAATTTGAAATTCGACACTCATTTTTAAAAGTTTTCGAAACCAGAATTTTGTCTTTCTGGTTAAACCCTAATGTGTGCCTTCTGAAATGTTGCTTTGCAATAAGTAGTTTTATACTTCATCAGACAATAATGCAGACATATATGTTTATGTGTGTGTGTGTGTGTGTATTTTAATGTTTTCTTCTTGGTCTGAAGTGGTAATTATTTTCTACTTTTGTTTTTGTTTAAGCTTAGGTTCGTTGACCAATTGACTTGGTCTAGTTTGTTTCCGCTTCTTCCGGGGGACTCTTTTTTTTCTTTGTTTGCTTTCAAAGATTAAGTTTTCCAGTATTACACATAATGGGTTTCTAAAACTTTTTTCTGCAGTAAATTCGAAATATGGATTTCATTGATCTGATTTCTGAATATTACTGAGAATTCTGGGGTGATTTCTGGTCAATTTGTTTCACATATTCTTCTTCTTTGGGTTTTATAGCACTTCGTCCCTTTGTTAGCCGTCCATCTGACATTGTCGATAATTGTTTCTCTATGGAAACAGCCAATTGTTCAACAAGCCCTCTCCCAGGTTGTGCTTAATGTTAATGAAAATTATATTCATTTTGGCTTGGTAAATTTGATATTGTATTTTGACCAGTAGATCATATTATTCTGATCATGGTGTTATTACTGCAGATTGTAGCAACGTCGTGTTCATCATTATACCGTCCACTTCATGCTTGTGCTGGCTATTTATCATCGTATTCACCATCGCATGTTAGTGACTTTGCTTATTATTATTAGCCTGCTTAGAATTCTATCCTTGCCTATTCATCTCTATTTCTAATACTTAAATATATATATATATATATATGTGAGAATGAGGGAAACATTCTTTGCATTTAAGAATATGACCAATTGGATGAAAAATAATATTCTGTTGGTGTAGAAAAGGATTACATTGGTTGGTTCAAGGCGTATAAATGGAAATAAGTTTTTTTTTACTTGTGAGAATGTTTGATATTTCATGGATACTTATAGCAGTATATATATTCCATAAATATAACTTCTAATAAGCACAAACCCGTACCCTATTGCTCGAAGCTTTATTTTTCGAGAAATATATTGTTCTCACTTGGGAACAAACTGTGTTTACCTGTTTTGTCTTGCAGGCTAAGGCTGCATGCGTTTTGATTGATCTCTGTTGTGGCATGCTAGCACCTTGGCTAAGTCAAGTGATTGCAAAGGTTTGTCTGAGTCTGATTTCTTTTGCTGTAACTTTCTCATGGTGTGGTTTAGTTCTCCCGTGTGTTTACACTTCTATTCGAACTTCTTCTTTTTGGTTTGAACACAGGTTGATCTGGCTGTAGAGTTTCTAGAGGATCTTTTGGGTGTAATTCAGGTATGCTTTTCAATTATTTGAACAAAAAACATTAATGTTATAATGCTCTTATGTTTCATCTCAGATTGTCAAAGGTAATGAAGATAGGTTGAGCCGTATATGCATAAGATCAAACTTAGATGAAGTGACAATTGGGTCAGCTGTTAAAGTTTCTTGTTTTTGCACATGAGATATTTTTGGGTTCAAATAAATAATAAAACTTTATCGAGGATAGAGTACTAGGTTTACATGAACTTTGAATGTCATGCATTTTCTGACAGCTAGCTTTTGTTTTCATAATGTAAAAACTGTGTCATTGCTCTTGTTTTAGGGTGCATGCCACTCCCTGCTTCGTGCTCGTGCTGCCTTAAAATACATTGTTCTGGCGCTCTCTGGTCACATGGATGATATGCTAGGAAAGAATAAGGTATTGCATTCTGTGGTTTTCTTGTCATAATGATTGGTAATTTAAAAGTTTATCTGCTTCATTGTTTTGGTATATATTTTAGTGTGTTGGATAGCTAGAGGGCTCAAATGTTTCTGTTTGGATAGTTAGTGTTAGTTTCTTGTAATGTCATTGTCAATTATCCCCTTTGGTATTCTTGAGATTTATAACCGCTACATAAGCTTACTTTTATTTATTGAGTTAAAAGAATCTTTCTATAATGGCTATGTTTCTTTATAAATAAATAAAAAAAAGATAACTTATTTTTTGTGTAATTTTTTCCGTTTTCAGGAAGTTAAGCATAGGATACTCTTTCTTGTGGAGATGCTGGAGCCTTTCCTTGATCCTGCTGTAGAAAGATTGAAGGGAATAATAGCCTTTGGAGATCTGTCTTCTGCACATCCAGAAAAGCAGGAAGAGAATTGTGTTATTGCCGTCAATGTAATTCGCAGAGCAGTGCAGAAACCAGCAGTTCTTCCTTCACTGGAATCTGAATGGAGGCGTGGATCAGTTGCTACTAGGTAATACATGCCTGTCTTAAGGAAAATTTATAATAACTAGTTTTAAAAGGGAGTGGGGGATATTTGTATAAAAAATTGATTATAAATGCAATTTTGACTTGTTGGCTTTGCCTGCTCAACTCTTACTTTATTCAAATTCATGTTGTTCAAATTCCATATGGCTCTGAAGATAAGATGAATAATCTTCTATTATTGCTACCACAGTTTACAACGCATGAATAATCTTCTATTTACTGTTACCACATTTCACAGTTCACAATGCACAAGTGAATGTTATCCTTTTGTTTCCCGCATACCACTTTGTTTATTGATTTTTATATTTCAAATTAACATTATTGTGTTTTTGCGTATGACAATTTTTGTTCGCTATATTGGATTGTTGATGGATATACAATTCTTGATGCAGTGTGCTACTCTCGATATTGGAACCTCACATGCAGCTACCTCCTGAAATTGACCTTCAAACATCTCCTGTCCCTAGACCACTGGAACCTGAATCTTTATCTGGTTTATTTCATTCTTCAGCTTCTCACCAAGGGGTAGCTTCAAAATCAAACAGCCAGGATGAATTTGACAGGAAGATAGATGTTTCTGATACAGCCGTAAAAATTGACATTTCAGAAGACGCCAGTCTTCTTTTTGCACCTACAGAACTGCATAACATTGTATTGACAAGTATATCCAGTTGTCCTAATGAGAACAGCTCTGTCCTAACCAAAACATCTGGTCGGGAAACATTTTCCACACAGGTTTCAAATTGACTTAAAACTAGATGCTGGTTTCTCTTGCAAGCAGATTATTTCCAACTTATAACCTATCAAGACTGCGAGCTCAGGGCTTCTGAATTTCGGCGATTGGCCTTAGATTTGCATTCACAGAATGAGATTACCATTGAGAGTCATGATGCCGCTATAGATGCTTTGCTCTTGGCTGCAGAGTGCGATGTCAATCCATTTTTTATGATGTCTTTTAGAGGAAATCCAAAGTTAATGAAGGAGATAAACATCAGTGGGATTAGGACTCGACAAAATCATGAAATTGGGATGCGAATGGTCTCTGGAAAGTCTAAGAATGACCTAGAAACAATATCTCTTCTTCTTAAAAGGAAAAGAGACAAAATTGTTCTTCAAATTCTGCTCGAGGCTGCGGAGTTAGACAGAGAGTACTGAGAAAAGGTTTCAGATGGAGGACTTAGTCCGTACTACACCATAGGATTTGATGAACAAGTCATTAGGTTGTCTCCGCTTGATGTACAATCTGCAGATGCCATCACCTTGGTTCGACAAAATCAAGCTTTGTTGTGCTGCTTTCTGATTCAACGATTGCGAATGGAGCAGCACTCGGTGCATGAAATTCTTATGCAGTGTATGATATTCTTGTTGAATTCTGCGACTAAGCTATACTGTGCTCCAGAACATGTGATTGACATTGCATTAGGATCCGCTGAGTACTTAAATGGGATGCTAAGATCCCTGTATTATCAGTTCAAAGCAAACAATCTGCAGTTGGAGCCGGAAACATTACATGGGATACAACGACGGTGGATACTGCTTGAAAGATTGGTAATTTCTTCAAGCGGTGGCGATGAGGAAACAGGCTTTGCAATCAATAAAAATGGTTTCCCTTATGGAAGTCTGATTCCACCTTCAGTCTGGATGCAAAGGATTTCCACTTTTCCTAGATGCATATCCCCTCTTGTTCGATTTCTTGCTTGGATGGCAGTATCTTGTAATGCAAGACAGTACATGAAGGACCAGCTTTTACTGGCTTCTGATCTACCACAGGTGACATCTCTATTGTCTACATTTGCAGATGAACTTTCTGTTGTAGATAATGTTATCAGTCGAAAGTATGAAGAATCAGGGGGTGAAATTGTTTCTGCATCCATTAAAGGATTTGAAGTTGCTGATCAGCAGCATCAGGACCAATCTTTTTGTGTCATTTACCCTGAGCTCTTTAAGTTCTTTCCTAATACAAAAAAGCAATTTGAAGCTTTTGGAGAAAACATTTTGGAGGCTGTTGGGTTGCAGTTGAGGTCTTTTCCTTCCAGTATGGTGCCTGATATTTTGTGTTGGTTCTCTGATTTGTGTTCATGGCCATTTCTACATACAGAGCAGCTTTCTGCTCGAAATAGTTCTGACCGTTTGTAAGGCTATGTTTCAAAGAATGCCAAAGCAAACATCCTCTATACACTTGAAGCCATTGTAACCGAGCACATGGAAGCAATGGTGCCTGAGATACCTAGAGTGGTGCAAGTGCTGGCATGTCTTTGTAGGGCATCTTACTGCGATGTGTCATTTCTTGATTCTGTATTTTCTTCGTTGAAACCAATCATTTCATATTCTTTATGTAAGGTGTCTGGTGAGGAAAGATCATTGGTAGATGGTTCATGTGTTAATTTTGAGTCATTATGCTTTGATGAGCTTTTCACTAACATCAGACAGGGTGCTAACCAAGATAATTCTAGAGAAAAAGTATACAACAGAGGATTGACAATTTTCATTTTGGCGTCTGTTTTTCCTGATTTATCTGCTCAGAGGAGGAGGGAAATGCTGCAGTCCTTAATTTTTTGGGCCGATTTTATTGCCTTTGAGCCAACTTCTTTCCACAATTACCTTTGTGCATTCCAGAGTGTTATGGAGAGTTTTAGTTCAGACTTTGCAGTTCTTTGGTGCCATCCCACTGGAGCTGCCCACTGAGGGACAACATGAAAGTGGACTGGAGTCACATTCATGGTTCCTCAGTGATGTCTACCACAGTTCAAGTCAAGATAAGGCCTCCGAGAAGTTAGAAGGTAACAATGTTGGTGCTGATATTGTGAATAAAAAGGTTTATCTTTTATTTCCTGAGGAAATAGAAGAATTCTCAAAACACTTGGAGGTTCTTATTGTTAAGCTTTACTTGACGACTGAGCTATGTTGGAATCTTCATCATCAACTATCTAAGAAGAGGACTATTACATCAACAGAGTGTTTTATGTACTCAAGATTCTTGGCATCAATTGCACAAAGAGTTAATGACGCTCAAGGAAATGATTCTGAAATTTCTTTCCCATCTACGTCAGTTGACCAGTTCCCTGATCATTGGAGGATTGGTATAGAAGTAATTTCTGAGACCATTCTGACCCTTCAAGAAAACAGATGCTGGGAAGTTGCTTCTGTTGTGCTTGATTGTGTACTTGCTGTGCCCCATGAGTTTGGCCTTAATAATGTGATTGGCTCCATCTGTTCTGCAATAAAAAGTAGTTCTTGCAATGTGTCGCGTAAATACAGCTGCACCAAAATGGATTAAGCTGCATCCTCAACTTGTGATACTCGCAAGTGCACGAGCCGTTTGGTAGTATAGCATATGTAAGTGCGAGGTCGATCCCACGAGGATTGGTGATTGAATGATCCAATTCATTTTTCCTACACAAAACAGAAATGAAAAAGAAAGGAAATAAATAAAATAAGGAAGAAAGAAATAACTAACTCAAGCAGATAAGTTCCCAAGTTCCATTAAATTAATGGATTGATTCTAGCTAAAGTATGATTAAGCCATGGTGTGTGGTCATAACCTTGTGTTCCTAATTCCCTAATTTGATCATTTGTTGTCTAACCTAAAATTAAGCATTAGGAACCCATTAAGCATAGAAGAACAATTTAAACAACCAAGCATGTATCTAATCCCTGTTGTCGAATGTCCATACATACTCTTCCTATTCATAGTTCAATTCGAAGGTGTGTTTACAAGCTTGGGAAACCTCACTATATATAGGCCTAAGGAAGCTGAAAGTCTGAATTAAGTATGGCTAATGCATACAACACTTTGTTTTATAAAATCTGAAATGGTTGATGCACTTGTATTAGAAAATCTGAAATGGGTGATGCCCTTGTATTAGAAAATCTTGAATTGGTTGATGCACTTCACCGATAGATCCCACCAGCAGCCCTAGCTCATCTTCATGTCATCATGACCAAGCTTCCAACCAGAAATGATAGCTCATACCTAGCTCACCATGACCAAGCATCCAACCAGCACATGCTGAGGTCAGCATGACCAGCAACTTCAAGGGCTTATAACTTGGGCTTCTCTTAATCAAATTAGGACTTTGAGCACTCGAAATTGAAGTTCAGAATGTCTTCTTTCTAGCCATATATCATTTGGGCCAATCCAAGGTCGGAGAAGGAAGTTAAGGCAAAAACAAATTGCTAACTCATTTTGCGCGCTGATAAAATCCATCCTGAGCATGGCTCTGTGTTTGCTAGGTAACAGACTCCATATTTATCCAATGGGGCTGAATTTTGGATATGTTATAGTACACACCAATTGGAACAACTTTCATGAAGAATGTAGCCTCATTCGAGCTATGTAGGTTGTTGAAACAAAGCTTGTAATATGACCTACGGAACTGGACTGGCAGGGGGCTGTAGCCAAAATGAGTTTGTCTTTAAGCTCTTCATCCATTCATCCAAATTAGGCCTTAACATGCTTGAATTGCATGAATTATGCTCTCTAAAGCCATCATTATTACCTAAAGCTCAATGAACTGAAAGATAAACACAAAAAGGATTAAAAGCACAAGTTTAACTAAAAAACATAACCAAATTATAAGCTAGAAGGGTACAAAATGATATACAATTATGAACCGATCACAATGCACCGAAAATTGCTTGGCGCTTGCAGAGTGATAAATGGCTATTGATTTTACTTACCAAAGGTGTCCATTCCCTCAAGGAATGCGAGGTTCGTCATCCTGATTCGTTCTGTAAAATTATGTGGGTCATCCTGAATCTGAGCAACGATCTATAGCCCTTAAGCTCTTAGGAAAACTTGTTGGTCATGATTTGAGTGGAGGAACTGCCCTTCAGTCTTCCATGTTTTACAAAAATTTAGTTTCACCTGGATTGGTTGCATCTGTTCCTGAGTCGATTATGGTTTCAAGTACATGGAATCTGGTGGTTGTCCTTGCTTCATCTGATGCATCATTACTTGTGAGGACTATGGCAATGACACTGTTGGCATAATACCATGGGTCCAGCCCATGATGGAAAAACATTCTTTCGGTGGTCAAAAGAGAAACCAACACAATGATGAAGCCAACATGATATGATGATGTCTTTAGCTAATGATGGTGTCTTTAGCCAATGATGGTGTCTCAAGCAAATGATGCTGCCATCCGTTGGAAGAAAAATCTAAAAGCTTCCAAACTTTTCCTTTCTCAAATATAAAAGGACATGCAAGTGTGCATGCGGAAGAAAGTGGTGTGTGTGTTGTGTTGAAGAGTCAGAGAGAGTTGGAGAAGCCGAGAGCAAGAGAGAGAAGTGAGAGAACACCATCCAAACAGCCATCAGTATTATACTCCAATTCTGTGAGAGTGAGAGAGTTAATTGTGTACCACTCCAAGCGAATACTCCAATTCTGTGAGAGTGAGAGAGTTAATTGTGTACCACTCCAAGCGAATACTCCAATTCTGTGAGAGTGAGAGAGTTAATTGTGTACCACTCCAAGCGAATACTCCAATTCTGTGAGAGTGAGAGAGTTAATTGTGTACCACTCCAAGCGAATACTCCAATTCTGTGAGAGTGAGAGAGTTAATTGTGTACCACTCCAAGTGTGTGAGTGAGGTAAAACAGGAGAGTATAGTGTGGTGTCATTGTACTTTCTCTGTGTGTATCATCAAGCCCTGGGCATTGGCTTGGTAAGATCTGTCTTGTTGTACCCATTATTTTGTTATAGTGGAAGAAATTTATATTGCTGCCCCGTGGACGTAGGCATTGCCGAACCACGTTAATTTCTGGTGTTCTTTATTTTTCTGCAATTTCATTCTAGCACTAACCGATCCTAACAAGTGGTATCAGAGCCGGAAGCAATTCCGTTGTGAATAGTGCTCGTGAACAGTGCTCGTGAATAGTGCAGAATGGAAGGAAGCTCTATGATCAAACTCAACAACTCCAATTGGGTGACCTGGAAACCAAGGATGGAGGATATTCTTTACTGCAAAGACCTACATGAACCAATTGAAGGTGCAAAGGCCAAGCCAGCAACAATGTCTGATGCCGAATGGACAAAGCTGAACCGTAAAGCTACCGGCAACCTTAGACAATGGGTGGATGACAGCGTGTTTCACCATGTGTCTAATGAAACAGATGCGCACTCTCTTTGGGAGAAGCTTGAATCCTTGTTCGAGAAGAAGACCGCAGCCAAGAAAGCCTTCTTGATCAAGGAGCTCATCAATATGAAGTACAAGGACGGTTTGAGTGTGACGGAGCACCTGAACAACTTCCAGAATCTGGTCAACCAATTGGCAACTATGAAAATGACGATTGACACTGAGTGGCAAGCTTTTTTGCTGCTGGGTTCCTTGCCAGATAGTTGGGAAACCTTTGTGGTGACTGTAAGTAACTCTGCTCCCAATGGTGTTCTTACTATAGATAGTGTTAAAGATAGCATGTTTAATGAAGAAACAAGGAGAAAAGTTTCAGGCATCGAAAGCAGCCAAGTACATGTGACAGAAAACAGAGGAAGGAGCAAGAGTAGAGGACTAAGAGGTCGTGGAAAGAACCCAAGTCGCTCCAGATCAAGATTTAGAGGAAGCTGCCATCATTGCGGCAAAGAGGGCCATATGAAGAAGCATTGCCGTGCATGGAAGAAACTGCAAAACGAAGGTCACAACCAAAGGCAAAGAAATTCATAAGAAGCAGAGATGTGATCTTTTATGAAGATCAAACACTAGCTGACCCTAAGGAGAAGGCTCAACCTGAAGATGTGATTGAAAAGGCTGTTGACCCTTTAATTTCAAATAAAGAAGCACGCGGTGACATGCCAGAAGAAGCTGCTGAAGGGACATCAGAGATTACTGATCAGGGGGAGCCTGATCAAGAAGAGCGAAATGATGAGGAGCTTGATCAGGGGGAGCATTCAGCCTTACAAGAAACTGAAGCTCAGCCAAGAAGATCCACCAGAAACAGACGTCCAACTACCAAGTATCCTTCATCGGATTATATCCTGCTGACAGATGATGGAGAGCCCGAGACGTATAAAGAGGCCATAGATCACAAAGACAGTAACAAATGGTTGAAGGCAATGGAGTCTGAGATGGATTCCTTATTGAAGAATGATACTTATGAGCTGGTGAAGCTACCGGAAGGGAGAAAGGCACTCAAAAATAAATGGGTATTCAAACTGAAAAAGGATGAGCAGATGACGAAGTACAAGGCTCGCTTGGTAGTGAAGGGTTTTGGTCAGAAGAAAGGCATTGACTATGACGAAATTTTCTCCCCAGTGGTGAAGATGACCTCTGTCCGTGTTATCTTGGGTATGGCAGCTAGCATGGATCTTGAACTTGAACAACTAGATGTGAAGACTGCATTCCTTCATGGAGATTTAGAAGAGGAGATATATATGGAGCAACCTGAAGGGTTTAAAGTTAAAGGGAAGGAAGACATGGTCTGCAAGCTGAAGAAAAGTCTATATGGACTTAAACAAGCTCCAAGGCAGTGGAACAAGAAGTTCGACTCATTCATGATGAGTCATGGATACAACAGGACAGTTGCAGATCCATGTGTCTACATCCGACAATTCGCGGGAGGTAAATTCATAATACTTCTGTTATATGTTGATGACATGTTAATTTATATGATTAGGAAGCTAAAGGAAGAGC